CCAGGCGCCCAGAGTCGCCCTTTGCTACTACTACTACTACTACTACTACTACTACTACTACTACTACTACTACTACTACTACGACGACTGCTAGGACTGCTAGGACTGCTACGACTTGCTAGGACTGCTACGACTGCTACTACTTCTACTGCTACTACTGCTACTACAGCTACTACTGCTACTGCAGCTACTACTGCTACTATTACTGCTACTACTACTGCTACTACTACTGCTGCTACTACTACTACTACTCCTACTACTACTACTACTACCACCACCACCACCACCGCTACCGTAGTAACGTAGTACTACTACTGTAGTGCTACTGCGACTACTGCGACTACTGCGACAACTACTCCTCCTACTCCTACTCCACCTGCGCCTGCTGCTGCTACCGCTAACTCCTACTTCTATTCCTCCTCCTGCTGTTGCCACCACTTTCGTACTCCTGTAACTTCTGCCACTGCGGCTGCTACCACTGGCCCTAGGACTATGAGTGAGGTTGCTGCCTGTGCGTGCACGTGTGAGTCATGAACATGTGGTACTGGGAGGATTCCTTGCATTCCCTGCGTGAACCTGCTTTGACCGCCTTAGGCCATCAGCTAACGGGAGGCCAGTGCAAAGATCCTAAAAGAGGACCAAGGCCGCACCAGAATTTGATAAGCTAAGCGCAATCCAACCGATGACTGCTTTCAATGCAGGAAGGGTTTACAAGCAGCGCTTGCAGATTTAACGGAACATGATCTGCTGAATCTGCTGTCGATGATTGCGCGGTACGTGAGCTCGCGCTCTTGGCGATGACTTTCGGCTCATGCAGAAACTGTGGCAATGTGAAACGCTCGCGGGGCAATAACTCATCACCCTCCGGCGGCCAGTCAATGACGCCGCATCCCTTGTAGCCTCCTTGGTTGTGCATGTGGCATACAAAAAGGCACAACTATGCTGATAAGATTTTGCTCCAAAGTGTCGCAGGAAACCCCCTTGCCCCGGAAAAAACCGGACAAACTCGTTCCTGGCTGGACATGAGGGCTCTCCTGGAACAATCTAAAAAACTAATGCTTGAGGAACAGTACTTTTGGGAGCTGTTTAGAGTGGCTGTTCTCTTAGAGGGTGTGTTCGTGCGGAACACACCCAAACCGATGCTCCAGAACAAGCACTCTTCCATAAGCCTTTCAGGATTGTGGAACTACGTGACTATGTGACTTGTTAATCTCCTTGTCCTGCCTAAACAAAAACTACATCTTGTAGCGACATGCAATGCAACACACATCTTGCCGCAGAAAAAGATGTCCAGGAGGCGTCAGCACACAAGTCCGCTGCAAGACGAGACAAGGCACATCTGAAGCATCATAAGGGTGGCATCGAAGCTGCCAGGCACTGGTCGGCCATCGATTCTTAAGATGGTCCAGCCCACCTGAACCTGCCAGAAAACCCTTTTCAGAAACACAGCGCAGCCTGAGCTCGTATGACTTCCAGGATGGGCTACTAGGCCTTACAATCCCCATAAGTCACCCTATCAAGGGCCTTCTTTGGGGGTTCTGGCTTCTACGAGTAATAGCCCATCCTTGGTTTGTTTCAACTCCACGCCAGCCTTGCTGTGCTCACCGATGAACCCAGGCTTCACTGCCTTCACCTTCATCCTCACAGTGACACATGGGGGATTCCGCAAATAGGGGACCGCTAAAACAGACCCCAAACAGTAAGACTTCCTTAAAAGAAGGACTCCAAAAAAAGTACCCCCCCAATTTCGGAAACCACCACATTCCGTTTTGCTGTCATCTTTGGCGCGATGAAAGAGTTCGGAGGGATGTAGGGGCGCAGGCGAATCAGCAAACATTCGGGGATCCCTGCTCTCGCAGAACGAAAATACTGCGGTGTCACATTGCAATCTTAAATCACATTATGTCAAGTTAGCTCTATTAATCTATTCAGTACTACCCTTATTCTACGTCTGTACTCCTATTGGAGCGTGCCCGAAGTCGTGCGGTGGTGCAAACCACGTGGACGCACAGGCCACAGGGCCTAAGGCTTAACATCCCAACACCGTACAACGTAGTAAACAAGTACGCGAAGTGTATATCCCATCAAATATTGAGCAAGGAGAACGAAGTGCATGGCAAGTCTCGGCAAGCGCATGCTGAAGTCCAAGCCGAGAGGGCTTTCGTAGAACCACACGTCTCTCCTGGTAAGCTGCGCTTGGAAACTTGAAAGGAGCGCTGATGCCGCCCAACACTTCCGAAATCCTAACCCTAGCCCCTCAAAAAGCCGAGACTTTGGCAAATCTACTGGCTTGAGGCCAAGCACGTGCTTATCCCATCTGGGAGCAGGAACGTGATCATAAGCGGCGCCACGCTGAAGGAAGGATCCTCGCCTTGGCAGTCTCAAGATTGTAGAGTGCTTCAGCAGAGTTCAGATAGAAAACCAGGCCCCCAAACCCCACCTCAAAACGTAAATCCCGGTTTACCTTGTGCAGGTGAGGGGCGAATGGCAACTTCTGCGACCATGGTCTCGTGATCGCCCTCCGGCGACTTTTCTTCGGAACAACATATCGGAATGTTTCCCATGGCAACACCGGCTTGCTCAAAATAATCGAAGGGCTATGTGAGAGCCAGGACGAGGGAGTGCACACTAGGCATAACTGCTTCAACTGCTCTGGGAGTATGGGATTAGAGACTCATCGCGGGAAGCTGCTGCGAGCCGATGGGCCGACTACCAGCGCGCAACCAAACAAAAAGTCGATGAACGACCTGCTTGCAGTCTGCTTGCTGCTTCTGCCGCAAGATCCAGTTGAGCTGCGGACAGTGCGTCGGCCGGCCAATGAATCTCAAGCTTGAAAGCACCTGGGCCCGGCTGCTGATGTCTCTTGTTCAGGGCTTAGGGCTGAGGGCTTAGGGCTGAGGGCTTAGGATTTCGGGTTGGAGAGGAAACAGAGACATGGAAGCCTATTTCCGATGCCGCTCTCACCGTGCTCAAGCCCGGTTTGGGGAAGAGGCCATGTCGGATCGGCAGGATGCTGCGCAAGCCTTATGCGATCGTGGCTTGTCAAGCATTGGAAGACTACTACTACCACTGCTACCACTACTACCACTACTACCACTACTACCACTACTACCACTACTCATGCTTTTTACTCTGAACAAAGCTGTGAGCCTGACTTCCAATGCGGCTCTCCAGCTCGAGAGTCTTATTGGAAGCGTAGGCCGAAGCACCCTCCGGAACCTGCAGGTGGCATTCGCAAAAGAGTTTTAAAAAAAAGGAACGTAGCCAAAAACAGCATGGCACAATGGTACAGGTGGCTGGACTTCTTTTCATAATCATCGCTTCCCAAGCAGCATGGCAGCAACACAAGTATGGGCGTCAGACTAAGAAGGAGTAAGTTTCTCGGGCAAAGCACGGCGCAGCCGGTTGTTGTTAGGTAGCATGGGAATGAATTCGTATTGGCAATATTGGCAACAGAGCAGCAGTAGTAGGAGGAATAAGGAATAGTAAGAGTAGTGAAGAGTATTCACTGTAGTAGCACTACGTAGTGCTGTGCTGTACTATGTAGCAATACTGGCAGCAGCAGCAGCAGCAGCAGCAGCAGCAGGAGGAATAGTAGCAGCGGCTCTTAGTAGTATTAGGCGAAAAAGTACTAAGAATACTAGTAGTAGTAGTAGTAGTAGTAGTAGTAGTAGTAGTAGTAGTAGTAGTAGTTCTACCGAGACGGTAGTAACGGTAGCAACGGTAGCAACGGTAGAAAGAGTAACAATAAGAACAGTATGTGTATGTTTGTAACCCGTCATTGTATACGTAGCAGCAGTACAAGACAGCTACCAGACTAGAAGAAGTAGCACATTTGTGATCATTTGCAACAGTTAGGAATTATTAACTACGGATCTCACAAGTACTTACTAGTTTGTAGCTAATCATTAGCAGCCATGCTACAAAGTTGCAGCCGCACATGCCTGACCCGCCACACCTTCACCCAGAAAAGCACTGGCCCAGCTTCGCATCACCTCGCACCAAAGCAAGGTCGTTCATGTCATGCAGCAGAAAGAGTGAAAATAAATTCAAGCACACAAGTGCCCATAAGGCTAAGGCATCTCGCAAACTGCGGCGGTTGCTGAAAAAAACCTGCCATCATGCTCAAGGCCATTTGCACAGGCATCTCGGTACTGCGGCGGTCACTGATCAAAACAACACGCTCACAATTTGTGCGGTTTTTGTAGTTTCGACGAACGTCGAAAGTCTAGCTATGTTTTGCTTTGAACATACCTCGCTCTCGCCTGGTTTATGTGCCTCATTTTGACCTGCCAAGATATCCTCAGAGGCCCTTGGAGCCGTGACAGTTCATCCAGAGATGCCCTATAGGCTCTATATATATATGTATAGAAATGTATATATATATATATATATATATATATGGGCATTTCCCGAAATAGGGGTACCCCTTCTAAATACACCAAATAGACTAGAATCCTCTTCAAGGGACCCCAAAAATGGTACCCCCATTTTCGGAAACCCCCATCTAAAGCTGATGCAATCAATGCGGCCTTCCATACAGGAAAGCTTCGACCAGGAGCCACAACGGTGATGGCCAGCAGCGTCACTGCAGAAATGGCAAAGTTTGGCCAGGTGACAGCCGACATGAAGCCCAAGAACAAGACTTAGGGTTTAGGGTTTAAGTGTTAGGGTTTAGGGTTTAGGGGTTCTCGGCGATGTTACCGGTTCGAAGGTTGCAGCAAAAGCAATCACAGATTGCATGTAAGCACAATCACAACAAAGCCGGTTGCGTGTGATGCGCACATGAACCCAAACTCTGAAAGAGCAAAGTGCTTCGTCACGGCCTTCCCACTCGCGCGCACCAGTGCAAACGCCACACTTTGGGGCGTGTCTTGCGACTCCTGCGACATTGCCAGCGGACGGTCGGGCTTTGCCTCCCGTCCGCTGGGCAGCCCGTGACCTCACCTGCAGTCTGCTTGTAGCATCTTGACTTCTTGAAATAGTAATGAGTCGTGATGTCATCCTTCTTGCAGGCCTCAGCTCTACCATGCTTGACACCAGACTCGAAATCGAAATGACCCGAACCTCCCCTCTGAAATCCTGGATCCCTACTGTAACAAGGGCCCCCTAAACCCAAACCTCACCTGCCCTGAAGTGAGCCGCTCAGCGGCTGTCGTGGTCGCACGGGTGGCGGTCGAGTCCCACAGGTAAGTTGGGATGCTTGCGCGCGAACCTCGATGCAGAATGATGAAATTGGCGATTACACCGCTGTACTTTCAAGCTCTAAACCCTAAACCCTAAACTCTAAACCCTATACCCTAAACCCTGAACCCTAAACCCTAAACCCCTAAACCAGGTGCAAGGGGCTCTTGGTGCACTCGGCTCACCCGCCAGCTGCATGCTTCGAAGTTCAGCTTGCCATTCCAAAAGTCGTTGTTGACCCCCTTGTCCTCATAACTGTCGTACTCGAAACCGCCCAGGTTGCAGAACGACGCCTGGGAGATGCGCGCGCGTGTTGAGGCTGCACGGAGTTCGGCCTACTCCCTTGTCAATCTGAGGCGCCTGATCAATGATGCCAGCGATTTCATCAAGAAACACCTCCCACCAGGCAGGCAGAAGGGCGAGAGGTCACTTCCGGCATAATGCCACACCCCCAGGTGTCTGGAACATGCCAGCCTCCCCTGCAAATGTTGCGGTCCAAGTGCATGTGCTGGTACCTCAAACTAAGGGAGCATTTGCTCTTGCTGGAGACTTCTCACATGCTTGCTGATTCATGACTGATGCCAGGTACTTACTATAGAGCTGAGATGCCATTTGGGTGAGCACCTGAAGAAGCGCTTGTGTAGGCTTAGCGGCTTAGCACTTGTGTAGGGCGCGGGCTGACCCCCCAATACTCACTCACTCCATCCGTACGAGGCTTCTTGGCTGCAGACAATAGCCACCGGGCTGCTCCAATGAACATCGCTCCGTTTTGCCTGGCAGTTACAGGCTAACTGCCTCAGCTTTCCGTTCCTCCTGCATTGCTTGCATGGACTGATTCCCTCCAAGATGCGCTGGAAATCATTGCTCGGGCATCGCCCGGGGAGTGAATACCAAATGGCATCTTGATATCGGGCCTAAAAACATGCTCTTTCAGTGCTGCTCATGCCCCCTGCAAAGCAAAAAACCTCTTCATAGTGGGAGCTGCTTCCGATGACAGCATTCTCAGAGCAAGACCACGGATCTTGTCACATCAGGTCGTAGGCAGCCGACATTGTAGCCGTACCTGACATGCTGCAAGTGTCGAACGAAGCCGGCAAGCGATGGAACAAATCCCCAGGTCCATATTCGGCACCGTAGATCCACCGACCACTCTTCAACAGTGCTGCACAAGCTGCTTGTCCCAGTGATCTGCCTTGAGAGGGGGCTTGCAGGAGGTGACAGCAGTCTGAACACCAGTGCCATGCTTGCACTAGCTTGGATGGTATTAGGATATAGTCCACAGACAATAGTGCAAAGCATCCATCCCGGCCTGAAAGGACGGATCGGCCACTTTGCCCTTAGAGCTCGCAACGAGTCCTACTCCGTGCGAGCTGCCACAATTGTAACAGCACAAGTTCTGAAGTAGCATGCTGCATGCTCCACTACTCTCCACTCCTGTTGTTTTTTCGCTTTTGGGCCATAGTATATTTCAAGCTGCCTGTCGGAACTCTGCCCAGCCTTGGACAGCAGGAAAATGCTTGCATCAACGGCTGTAGCAACGCCAGTGCGGGACTTGCCATGCTCCCCCCCCACCCCCGCCCCCGCGTCCAGATTCCCCAAAATGTCGTGCTTGGGGGCGGTCGAATAATTGCCCCTTCTGGTAGAGCGCGTCTGTTGGCTTCATCGTGACGTAGTAGCGCAAGATGCCTTTGGAGGGAGAGGTACATCATGGTACATGAGTCTATTGCATGCAATTGCTTGGCACTGACGTCCTCCAACTGTGCCACGGCATTAAGATGCACTAAGGGCGTCACGATCGATCCCGAATTTGCGAGGGCAATCCGTCACAATGTCATTGTGCAAATACCTGAGCTGCAATAGTTGAACTCATGCTGCTCGAGATCCCATTTTGCCTTCCTAAGGTTTCTGAGGTCATGGCCAAAGAACACCACCAAGGCTGCCTCAGATATGTTTCTCACTCACCTGGCAAGCCTCACCATATGATAAGTACACAAAAACAAAGCAATCTCGTTCTTCATCTCTTTACAGTACTTCATTCTTTCTTTATTTCTTTATTTCATTCCTTCTGTATTTCTGCTTTCTTTCTGGGGGCCGGGGGAAAGCACCCCCCACGCAGACCGCGTGCCCCCACTTGTTGTGGGAGAGTTGAAACACACATGGAACACCTCTCTCTACCTCCACGGCACTCTCTCTCTCTCTCTCCACACGCACAGCCCGCGTCTCTCTCTCTCTCTCTCTCTCTCTTCCTTCCAACGGTTATCCTCGCTCTCTCTCTCCCCCTCTCTGCTTCTTTCTCTGCGAGCGTAGCTCTGAAGGGGCCGCTGGCCACCTCAGTTTCTCGCTCTCTTTCTGTTTTCTCTCTTTCTTTCCTTCTTTCCAGTGGCTCCACGGCGAACCCCGGCGCACTGCGAAGCGCAATTTTTCGTATACCGAGGCCTTGTACACGAGCATCCCTCCGAGATCGATCCACCCCTTCGTTTCTTTCCTGTCATCGACAGCTGGTGACACTGCTTGAGTTGAGGGAATAATGTAGGAAGAGGCGAAGGGCAGACTTTTCAGCAGCGTGGCCCGTGGACACAAAACTGAACCAGCACGCGGTAGGCTAGTCCCTGCCACAAGGTAAGCTCGGCAAGGGATGTCAGGGGATGTCCATGGCTGTCGTTCCCGCTGACTTACCTGAGCTTTCTTAATCATTCGAATCAGACGGCAAATGCCGTGTAAGGCCTGACAAAGTCCTACACACGTACTGGCTCTAGAGCGGCTAGCTAAGCACGTCGGTTTGCTTTCCTACTCAGGCCATTTTTTTTTTGGGATCGCCCCGCCCCCCCCCCCCCCCCGGGTGCAAACGTCCCCCCGAACGCAAACCGAAAAATCTTCGGGTGGAAGCTTGTTGGATCGGCGCGGCGGGCTCACGCCACCCGCCGGGGCGACTTGAGCCAAAATGAGCCAAAATGGCACGGGTCTCTCTCCTCCTCTTCTTCTTTTTCTTCTTCTTATTCCTCTTCTTCTTCATCTTTTTGAGAGTCTTCTTCTTCTTCTTCGTCTTCCTCTTCCTCTTCCTCCTCTTCTTCTTCTTCTTGCACTTCTTCTTCTGCTGGGCATGAGGGGTCCCCCGAGCTGCACGCGAGTGTGCGCCCGGATCCGGTCCCATCATTCTTCTTCCTTCCGTCTCCCTCCCTCTCTCTCTCTCTCTCTCTCTCTCTCTCTCTCTTGCAGATGCGAGATTCCCATGTCAGTGCTCAGATTGAGCTCGAGAGGCCAATATGGAGCAGAGGCCTTGATGCCGCGCAGGTTTTGCTGAAAGCAACTTCGGTGTCTTTGAGGACTTCTTATGATAGGGCACCTTTGGCATCCTCTGGCGATAATAGGAGTTATCATCTATCATCTTCTGCATGCACAAACCGCCAGCGAAAACTGAAGACCTAAACCAAGAAACCCAGCCCCAAAGAAAACGCCGGTGCAAAAGCGTCAAAAGCGATCATCAGGTGACGCTAATATGGTGCAAATGTTTACATGACAATTTCACAAGCGGATTTGAAACATGAGAATCACAATCGGCAGTCGGGATTTGACAAGTGCCAGCAACGTATTTAATCATTCTGCACAATGTGGCAAGCGACATGTCGAAAACCCTACTTACATTTGAGGCCTCGTTGCCTTTGTGCTGCTACTGTTGAGGGTTTAGGGTTTCGGTTTAGGGTTTAAGGTTTAGGGTTTAGGTGTTCTGTCCTGGACTGTACCTTTGCACATCGAAGTTGCCCGCCCGGTCTGAAGCCCCGGGCCTTGTACATGTAAAAGCTCATGGTGGGCGCTGCTCCGGGCGTCTTGCAGCCGCCCTTGCCATCTGCAACTTCTCCGAAGCCGCAGGTACCCAGTGTAGGTACCTCAGATGTACCCTAAACCCTAAACCCTAAACCCTAAACCTTAAACCCTGGACCCAAGACCCAAAACCCATAGTTCATTGGCACCCTGCTTAACCCCTTCCAACCAGTCTTTAGCACGTGATGACTGTAGAGATTTCGGAAGGAGCAAACGACCGCAAAAATTGCCGGCTGAATCAAACCCTAAACCCTAAACCCTTAACCCTAAACCCTAAACCCTAACCCCAGCTACATGGCAAGACTAAAGCTGTGGAGAGCAAAGCCTGGCTACACAGTTGTACGCGCCATCGCTGCGGTAAGAATATGCTCCTCGGCATTCCGGAGCATCCAGGGCGGCTGCCTTCTCCATGCAGCAAGCATTTCCTGCCACCCATTTAGGGTTTAGGGTTTAGGGTTCAGGGTTCAGGGTTCCAGCTCCAGATCAGTCTAGGCTAGTAACTGGCACCGCTGGCTTATCAAGCAAATGCGGATCTGAGTTTTTCTGAAATATTTCTGAAAAAGTTTCTGATTATTTTTCTGGTCTGTGAAAAATTTCTGATTTAGTTTCTGAATCTGATTCGGCGTGAATTATGATTGCTTCTGAAAATGCTTCCAAAGGAGCGGGAGATCAGAATTCAGAAGAAAATCAGAAATAATTCAGAAATATGCTGTATATACCATGCCTTTTCTGTGTTCCCCTCCCCATTCCGGATGCCCAGATGGTCCGGATGCCCGCCATGGGGCATGGAAAGTCAGAAAAGCATGGTATACACAGCACCTTTTTTTTTTGACATGCCCCCCTCCAGGGTCCAGGGGTTGGGGGGGGGGGGGGGGGGGCGGGGGGGGGGGGGGGGGGGGGGGGGGGGGGGGTGGGGGGCGGGGGGGGGGGGGCCGGGGGGCGGGGAGATCAGAATTCAGAAAAAATCAGAAAAATATTCAGAAATATGCTGTATATACCATGGTTTTTCTGATTTTCCAGCCACTGGAGCGGGGATTCGGAATTTCTGAAAAAAGTCTGATATTCTTCTACCGCGAAAATATTTCAGACTTTTTTCCAGAAATGTTTTTGGAGTCAGAGGTTTTTCAGAAATCTTTTCAGAAATTTTAAAAATTAATTATTCCAGGTTTTCTTCTGTAAGCCAGCCGATGCCCGTCCCTAGTCTAGGCCTTGTATATGCGAAGTACATCGATTTACATGGTGAGCTCGAGGCCTGCACCACACCAGTCGCAATAGCCGCTGCGGAAGTTGCATCGCGACAAGCATTCCTGAGGCAACGATGTGGAAGACATTTCCAAAGCGAGCAACGCGATGGGACCCATCCATGCCGAGGCGCTTGTGATACATGCTTCACTGAATGGAGCTGTGCTGGCGCCACGCACGTGTGCCACTTTGCTGTCGAGAAAGTCGCACCTCGAATGCTCTGCCCCTACGAGGTCAGAGCCGTAGACATGAAAAGGTTCACCAGACACAAGAAGGATTTTACAGTGCCTACAACTCGCCCACCAAGTGGCCCTCACACTCTGGTGGATCAAACTTTGCGCCAAGCCGGCAGCATGCATTGCCAAGACCACACCAGGAACAGTCACCGGATACATTTCCACAAGGTCGCCAGCAGTCCTCACCTCCATCACTACAAAGCACACCCCTACACCCTACCGTATAGCAGTATAACGCCTAAGTTAAACCAATCATGCTTGGAACGCGCCTTCGTGCAGCAACTTCGAAGGTGGCCAGGACTGGTTTGCCATTGCCTTGACAGCCACAGAGGCTTCTCCGTAGAGCAAGGCCTGCAATCAAGGCGCATCGAAGTAATTATGTCAAAGCCTTATCAAAGCTCGTTGGGGCAGGGTTTGTGTTGTCGTGAGTCACAGGGGCAAGACGGCCTGCTGCATCAAAGCAGTCGAGTTCACACTGTCAGGTGCGACGCTCTCCGCGACTTGTGGCGATGTACCAGCAGCTTCCAGGCCCACTAGTCTCGAAAGAGAAAGCGCGTGCGCAGGGTGCGGTCTGTGGGATGCAAAGTAGCTGGCAATGGCCAGGGCAAGTACAGCCACGACCTGGGAAGCGGATCCAGGTGAGTGTGCTACCATCCCTATAGCAGAATGAACTGTGAGGAGACATGAACTGTGAGGAGCCAGGCCACTGTAGTGCAAAGATAGCATACACGGCAAACAGGTCGTCGCCAGGCATTTTGATCGTGACAAGGCGTGGTCCTGGACAAGGTCGGCGCTGACTGCAAAAGCACGGTGACACTGTTACTCAGCCCAGCTGCAGCCTTGAACCATCCAACTGCAGCAATTGGCCAGATTCTTCGGCCGCAAGTGGGTGAAGCTCCATCGCTACGTGAACGTTAGTGTGCCTAGTGTGCGTCTGCATTGGAATAGTGGCCTATACAATGGCACACCATGTGTCTGGAGTTCGGGCCGCCAACGTGAGTCTGCATACAGGTGATGCCTAGTGGATGTCTCTACCTTGCAGAGCTATTGACCATCCTTGAGACGTGTCCAGGTGCACATCCTTCCAGGATGGGCTATTATACGCTGTAACTTATAACCTCTTAAAAAGGCCCTTCATGGGGTTGACTGTGGGCATTATGGGGCCTAATAACCCATCCTGGTTCCCATGATAGCTAATAAATTCCAGGTGCTGCCGTGACCAAGGGCGAGCGCCTCTTGAGATCTGCCGCGAACCTCTCGCCGAGATCTTCCGCGGCCGCGACCTCGATGTATCCTCCAGTCGAAGCAAGATCACTTCAGGGTGCCTATAGAGACTGTTCAGCAGCTCTGCAGCGACCTCTTTCATGGAATGAGTGGACAGCCGGCCGTGCAAGCAAAGCTACCGTGTGTTGGCGGTAGGTTTCACACAATGCCTTGGCATCGGCAATCACCATGAAGCCATGGCTCAGCCACCGCGATCACGCACAAAAACAATATGTCGCGGCTATCGAACTGCAGTCGAATTTTACGCGATATAAAATATTCAAGATATGAACTCAAACAACAACAGAAGCATCTCTGCGAACAGATCCGTACACAGGCCAGTACAAGAGAGAGGTGCTGGAGCCCCCCATGATCTTTCATAGCTTTCTCCCCGGAAGGAACTCAGTCTTGGCGTTCTGTCATGTTAGTGCGGCTCGTGTGGGCGACGGCAAAGCACAAACACAGGGCTGCGACGCAGACCTCCCCCCCCCCCAATCCGGCATACCCTACACCCTTGAACACGCACACAACTGGGCCTTTTTGGTCCCTGACATAAGCAGTGATGGTTTGCTCGGTAAGCTGTATTGCTACACGAAAGGCCTCGGAATGCAATGTGTAATAGGGCATGCGAGATGTCTCGCATCTGCACTTTGCAGCCGCAAAACGTTGCTTCACGTTGTGATGGCTTCTGCAGCCATGGGCAAGAAATGTCGGGCAAGCGACCTAGGACGATCTAGAACTTGGTTTAAGGTTCTAGTACAGGTCTATGCTTGAGGGCTAATTCAAGGCAGGCAAAGTGCAAATGATGTCTAAGGCAGCACGTGGCCCTTCAACGACTTGCTGCCGCAAGAGGCACCTACAGCAAACAGAACACAAAGCACTCAGGAGGTATTGTTTCCGTTGTTTATCCCGACATGGTGCGTGATGCCATCTGGCAGCCACGGGAATTGCCGATCTGAGTCCCTTCTACGGTATTCCAGCGATCTGGCCATCTGAGCAAGCAGCTGTACTTCAACCTGCTGGAAAACTACGGCCGTGGAATAGAGCACGCGCACTCTGAAGCATGTCGGCGGCATGCTGAAGGCCCTGCATCTTGGGCCAACATGGAACAGGAGGAGATTACGCACGACTCACAAGATCAGAGAACCGCGTCAAGTATCCGGTAGGGCCCAGGGTTTGAATGGATCGAGGGTTTGGAGTGCTACATGGATGGTGTGATCGGCAGGGCAGGTGTCCGCCAGTCATGGACGAGAGCCCACACAAGATGCCGATCGAGCATCACATAAAGATCCGTTGGCCAGTCTGCTCACATGCATCCTTTTTTCAGAATTGCAGATCATGTTCATACTCTAGTCCAGATTCCATGTCTGACGTCGGTGGACAGATTACCTACAGTAAAATCCGGCTACTGTACTCATGAAGGCTAGCCCGAACAGCGTTATCATAAGTTACCCTGTTTCGAGCCTCTTCTCACAAGGTCACAGGCAGCCGATGTTTGAGCCCCAGTGCAAGTTGCAGACTGTGACAGTTGTTCCCAAAGAGCCCAATACCCCTTCATTCAACCGTATACTTTAAGTCATAAAGGGATCCTGAATATGATTTAATTCCTTATTTAAGGGGCATTGGGCGCTCTGGGTTGAAACTACTGTAAGCCAGGGATCATGCACAAGAGCCGTCCAAACAGTCATCCTCCTTTGTCAGAGAGATATGACTTACGGTGTATGTGGCATAGCAATACCGGGAAAGAAGTAAACTGTAGATACAATGTACTTTGTAGCAGAATATGAAAAGCATATATGTAAATCCATTTATATATATATATGTATATGTATATATACATAGCATAGAAAGAGTATGACACACCATAGATATATACCATTGCATATATGCAGGTATATATATATATGTATAATATATACATATATATTCTATATGTATAGGTATGTCGTAGAAACAATATACAAAGAGCGTATACGTGTAGTTGTTTCCAGGGTATGTAGTATATTCTGTACATCCAGAATTGGAGTGAAAAGTCATGTAGTCGAACACACAACAACACACCATGTAGAATCTAGAAAAGGGAAAAATGGAAAAGTACATTGCAGCGCAATGCAGAAAATAGTGGTGCATTCATAGTATAGCACCGCATAATATCAATGTAGACAAAAGAAGATCGTATGATACAGTGTCTTTAGTACGATAAAACCCAATACAGCACAATATAGCATAAAGAAAGTATAAACATAACAATAGTACTAGAAGCAGAAATGTAGGATAAAGTTTTGGACGACAGTTCGGAGGCGATGGCCCAGAGCTGTACAGCTGGTGACTACAAGAATCCGCAGCACTCGGCCTGAATGCAAGATTGAGTTTCTTCGCCTCTTGGGCATTCACTTAGGGTTTTTTGGCTGTTTTGCCAAAGTGCTCTCATGATGGAGCCAGGTAGCTGCCAGTAAAGCCCAAGTTGGTGTGGATGTTGGGTTTAGGGTTTTTGGTTTAGGGTTTGGGGTTTAGGGTTTAGCCCGACGGGTTCAGTTACAGGGGCGGGTTTACATCGTAATTTACAGGGTTTCGTGTTTTCGAGGCCGGCAACAAAGAACTATTGTGATTCGGCTTTTGGTGTGAAAGGTGGGACTTGTGTAATTACACAGAATCCTTTGTCTTTCCAGGAAGCAGAAGGCCCAAAGCCCCGAGTCAAAACCATGAAGCACACACTTTAGACCCTAAGCGGAGAATCATGCGATTCCGGAGTGGCTGAAAGCTAAAAACAACAGCATAAGCTGTGTGCTACAAAGGTAAGGCATGCGTGGCTAGAATCTAGTAACGGAAGATGTCCTGCCAGAGGTTCACACGCTTTAGCATCCCCAAGCAAGCCCGACTCTCAGATTCGTTCTTAACCCCTCCGCCCCCACCCCCCCCCTCCCCCCCGAACAAACCCACTCAGACTCCCCAGCAACTCCATCCAGAAAAACGCAAAAAAAAAAAAAAAAAAACGCGCCGTGTGTAGCTAACACAGGAAAGCCATGAAACGTGTCTCGATTCTACCACGCAGGCCACACATTTCGTGACGTTGCACAAGACACACACACACACACACACACGAAAACCATGCACCAAAAGGGGCACCCCTTCTGGTAGTTGAAAACCTCACGCTGGCCAACGTTTCAGCATGCACCGCGAACAAGGGGGAACAGCGGCAGGGGACAAGACGCTGTTTTGACCCGAAAAACCAGCCCCGCAACCAAACCCGCTAGGAGGTTTAGGGTTTAGGGTTTAGGGTTTAGGGTTTAGGGTTTAGGGTTTAGGGTTTAGGGTTTAGGGTTTAGGGTTTAGGGTTTAGGGTTTAGGGTTTATATAGGGTTTAGGGTTTGGGTCAGCTCTAGACATCGTAAGTGGACCCTCCACGTACCCAACACCGGACACTTCGAGGGCGCGGCTTAACAAGGAGCCTCCGGGGCCTCAGCTGATTCTTTGAATTTGCTCAAATCCTACATTAGGTTTTTTTCATGTTTACTATACTGTCATGTTGCTATACGAAGTGATAGTACTCCTACTATGATATTGGGTTTAGGGTATGGGGTTTATTGCCCAGGGCTTAGGCCTACGTCTTTCGTGTCCTCTTTGGGGCCCTTCTGAACTGGGACTCTCTGGACAAATACCACCCAAGCCAAGCCCCCAAGGGCACCTTAACCTGAAGCTACCCAGAGAGCCAAATACCTCTTGAATAAGGAATATACATTAAATGAGGCATATACCTTAAATAAAGAATATACCTTAAATCATAGTAAGGGTGTCTTTATGATTTAACGCATTTTCCTTACCCTAAACCCTAAACCCTAAACCCTAAACCCTAAACCCTAAACCCTAAACCCTAAACCCTAAACCCTACATCTCTCTGGGTACCCCCCATGTGAGGAAAGAGGAAGCTAAGGCCGGCTCGTCGGCCTCAATACGACGCGCAGGCTGCCCATCCTCAAGCTGCTGGCATGTTGAGAGGTTTAGGGTTTAGGGTTTAGGGTTTAGGTTTAGGGTTTGGGGTTTAGGGTTTGGGGTTTAGGGATGTTGAGGTACAGCACACACGCCATGCAAATGTTTGGGATTCGGGTAGAACCCAGACCACATACCCTGAACCCGAGACGCCGATCAAAACTCCCCCTAGACCCTGAATCTGCATGACTAGGAATCTACAGGACCAACCCTAGACCCTAAACCGTAAACCCTAAACTGTCTTCTGCAGCCTAAACCCTACACCCTACACCCTAAACCCTAAACCCTATTAGCAGGCCTCAACGATGATACCACCGCCTTCCGCGGCAATGGCCTCAGCCGTCGGGAAGGGCTGCTGTATGTCGAGTCGTCATGGTTTGGGGTTTAGGTTTGGGGGTTAATACCAACAATAGTAAACATGTCACTGTATGTTAATCATAACAATCATAAAAGAAAAAGATGCTAATACTCAGAATCATAGTCATAATCCTAATAATATTGATAATTATGAAATATTAAATAGAAACAAGTAATAGCAAAATAACTGCTAATAATAGTAACCATGAAAACTTTAAAATGATTACAAGCAATAACGAAACAACATTAATCATGATAAAAAAACAAATGGTACTGGTGCTTCAAGGGTCTTGAGCTGAAAAAAACTCACAACCGCCGTTGTCTAAGATGGCACCGGGGGAGCGGCGATAAACCCTCGCTTCGTGAGCTGCAGCTGTGGACGAGCCTGGCATTGCAGCGTCGGGCTTGAGCACTTGCTGAGCACTTGCTTTCTATAGTCTGTCTCACAAACACCCCCCCTGCAAGAAATGCATGGCGTGTGTCTTCTAACGTTATACCGTTTTCACTTTGTCCCGGCAACCCCTGGACTCCCATGGACCGTTGATGCCTCTGTCCACCGCTTGCATGAAGGTCTGAGAACAAACCTGCCATGAGTCGAGACAAGCTTTTGGCCGATGTCGGACGTCTGAAAACTGGCAAATGCAACAAGGCCTGTCGCCACAATGCTCAACTCGATAGGAGCTCTGTTGGGCTAAGCAGGCCTGCCAGAGCTTGGAAGCCACATTGCAGCTACTCAAACCAACGGCCACAATGAACTTCGGCCTGCGTGATTGGGGTTCTGCGTGGGCGCTGCCGTAACTCATCCGTCCACTTGCCACACTGCAAAGCCTTTAGCACAGCGCAATGGATGTGACGAGTGTTTCAGCAGCTCCACAGCGTGCAAAGTACAAAGAGAGTAAAATGGCTGGAGGCCCCGACACCTCGAACGGCAAAGCTACCTCGGCACCACATAGGTGTAGCCTGCCGCAGCATGGGGCATGAGGCTGACAAGATGGTCCTCTGATCAGCAACTCAGCCTCGTCACTAGCTCGAAAGTTGAAATGAGCCAGTGTGGAACCTGCAGCTACCCAGAACACATCGAATCGGAAGGGATGGAAGATAACCCGGCCTGGAGAGAGCTGCAGCTCCAACATGGTGCCTGGAAGAGTGTCAACACTTTGCACAAGACTGCTCGAACATAAGTTCTGTGAGTGGTCAGCTGGTGATCTTAAGGGCTGGTCCGTACAACGTGTGCCGCAAGAGCATGAAGTTCACACCTGCTCTTGGCTTCAGGACGATCGACACAATATGACCCGCCTCGCACAGCCCCTCTCTTAAGAGTGTCTCTGTCAAGTCGGGGCCTATTGGAGAGCAAACGTTGGCAAAAACGTCCCACATCTCCGACCTTGTGGCGTATGTCTCTGTATCTGTATCTGCAGCCCATCGCCCCTCGCTGCTCTCATCGGAGAACGCCCTGATCTTTCTGAAGATTCCAAGCTGGGGCAAGGACAGGTGCAGAGTTGACAGCGGATTGGCCTCGGCCGGAGGAAGGGAAAACCATCTGGGGCACCGACACTATTGAACAACTGCAACACGTGGCATCTTAAAAAAAGCCATCAGCACTTACGCGCCCTCCTGCTCCACCCTGATCCTCCTCCCCAAAAGCTCAGGGCCAGTTCGGCCCTTGATGCTGTCGTGGCATCCCGCATTTGCGTCATCCACTCTTTCCGGGTTCATGCCCTTTTGCGTTGGTAGAGATTCCACACCCATGGAGAGTTGCCCAGGTGGCATGGCGGATCCCCACAACTACCATGGAAGGCACGAGACAGCGTCGCTTTTGTGAATTTTCTGTGTTGGCCTCTGGCAAGGGAGACTGCTTTGGTTTGGCTGCATGGACCATACTTCGGCTTGACACTTTGCCTTCGTCCTAAGCCGCAAGCACAGAGTGCGAGACAGCAGCCAGGGCAAACGCTCGAGCAGTGACAATGTTGTAGTAGTCTGCTAGGTTGACAGGCGAGGGGCACTCAAATCTGCGTTTCCCCATCCACGCTTGTCCACCAAAGCCTCGAGGAAATGGACTGGAGCAATATGTAGAGTCCGAGTTCAGGCAGTTTCCTCATGTGTTCTTGCGGTGCACTGGGGGCCACACTGGCAAGTACATACGTACCCACAGCTCGGCCTGTCATTGGTCAATTCAACACAATAAATTCACCTGGATGTCCCAGCATATCAAGAGCCATCAGCGAAATGTACCTCGTGCGAGGAGTACAACAGCTGGCTCAGCCTGCACACAAAGCGAATCATGCGAACCTCTCGCCGCAGAGTCGGTGGCCCAGGCTAGCGCCAGCACAGGCCACGCTCTTCGTCGACTGCAAGTGGCTAAGTCATTTGCAGAGCTGAGCTGCGGGCGACGCAGCCCTCAAGTAGCTAAGAACCTTGAGCGAAAAACCAGGAGCTAGGTTGCGTTTTTGCGCTTCAAGTCGTGGCTGCACTTGCGCAACCCAAGGAGACAGCATTGAGCAGCAAATCAGCCTGGCGGTGATGACAAGAATGAGTCAACTGCATTCTGCATGACAAGGTATTGGCTGCAGCATGAGGCTTCTTGCAGTCAGTACTAGTCACATGTAGCTCCTGTGCCTCATGTACACCTGACTGCACTGAGGCGCTGACAATAGATGGAAGCATGCCCTGACACACTTCTGCAATGCAAGCTCGCGCTTCCTCTTGTGCCTTCCTACCATGAACTACTCCAATGACGGTGCATACATACCAAGCACGACAAAGTCAAAAAGTTGCCTCTGCGATTTGGCTGTGGCTGTCGGCCAGGGGACACATGGTTGCGCCACCTCGCAACGATGGTAAGAGCCAACTATTTTCAAGCATCACAAATTTCCAGCCTCTTCGACCTGGGCTTAAATCAACTCCAGGCCCATGGCGGGCGATGACAGATGCTGTCATGTCATGTCTGGCAATTTTAAAGCTGACGGTTGGGGGGTCGAAGGCTGTGGTACTTCTCGGCTCGCTCGGAAGGGCGCTGGGTCTCCCTTTCACCTTCGTGCGTGCTACATCGTACTACGATTCCTCTCAATTGCTATTGCTCTTCGCGCGGCGTAAGGAAGGCTTTAAAAAGTGACGGCAGAAATGTCTGGTCCTCACCACTTGCAATGCTTTCTGTATCTACACCACACAGCTTCGGAAACACGACGAATGAGCCTTGCATATTTGTTCGCCGGAAAGATCCGGACAGATCAAGGCACAAGATGAGATGCAATGGCCAGCAAATGCAAGTGGAAGTTTTCTCCGGGATCCCGCAAGGTCCTCCTTAATCAATCAACCCGCCAAGTCCTCTCAAGCCCGATACCACACACGTCAACAATGTACGGGCCTAAGGACTTGAGGCTTGAGGCTTGCAGCGTCTGGCAGCGGCTCATATTCTGAGCCACTCGAACAGATCGAAGCACGGCTCCACCTGAACTCAAGTACTGATTGTCACGATTACAGCGATTAAACCTATTGAAACTATGAAAACTGTTGCAACCATTATAACCATCATAACCGTTATAACTGTTGTGACGATTATAGCTATGATAACTAGTATAACTAACAACTATTCCAACTATTTCAACTCGAATAACTATAAAACCTACTGTAGCTATGCTAACTAACATGATATCTTTGTATTCTGGGATTCTAACTATTTCTAACTATTCTAACTATAACTATCAGAACCAACTATGTTAATCTATTCAAATTATTGCTATTCTATGTATTATGACTACTGACATACTCAAACAAGAACTAGAACAGCTATTATCACTAATACAGCGACTACAACTGTTACAGCTATTACGACTACTATAGCTACTATAACTACTAAAACTATTAGAACTATTAAAACAACTCTCACTCTTATAGCTAATTACCACTATTACAACTATTACAATTCTAATAACTATTAAAACTATTATAACTATTGTAACGACTATAACTACTATAACTACTATAACTATTACAACTATTACAACTATTACAACGATTACAACTATTATAACAATAATAACGATTATAGCGATTATAACTATTATAGCTACTACAAGTACTACAACTATTTAACGATTATAACTATGACAACTATTGCAGCTATTAAACGTTACGACTATTTCCACTATTCTAACTATTCTAACTATTCTAACTGTTCTAACTGTTACAAGTATTATAAGTATTATAAGTATTATAAGTATTGTAAGTATTATAAGTATTATAACTATGATAACTATTATAACTATTATGACAATTATAGCTGTTATAACTATTATAACCATTATAACTATTACAACTATGATAACTATGATAACTATTATGACTATTATGACTATTATGACTATTATGACTATTATGACTAGTATAACTAGTATAACTATGATAACTATGATAACTATGATAACTATGATAACTATTATAACTATTATAACGATTATAACTATTACAACTATTATAACTATTGTAACTTTCATAACTATTATGACTATTCTAACTATTATAGCTGTTCTAACTATTCTAACTATGATAACTGTTGTAACTATCATACCTAATTACTATAGCTATGACAACTATTACAACTATTACAACTGTTACAACTATTACAACTACTACTACTATTGCAGCTATTGCAACTATGATACTATTATAACTATTTGAACTTTTACAACTATTGTGAAAATTTGTATTACTATTAGAAAACAAAGTAATATATAACCATTATAACTTTATATAACTTTTAACACTATTTTCTAACTATTTTTAACTTTCCTAACCATTATACCCAAACATTGTGTGTGTAACTTATTCTCATTTTTATAACTACGACCATGGCCATGCATGCTATCGGTCACGCGAAGTAAACATGACCCATGATACCCTGCAGTCGATGGATCGTCTGGGAGCCCGGCAACGGTCCAGCCCACCACGGCATAATTCAAGAGCCGCATTGGTGTAAGAACCTCTCTAGTTACGTGGGGTCAACTTCCATCAAGTCATAGCTAGATACGGCTTTGTTCACCTGTGACGTTGTGGGTTGCACTATACCATGTGATGAGGCTGCTGGAGAGTACTGTCGATGTGGCGGAACCAATCCTACTTGTCTGCTCGAGCTCAGCATATCTGAGATTGCTGCGTTGTAGCCGATGGGATTCTTGGTCCTGGCACAGGATCGCACAAACAATGAGAGCACCCAGTGAATTTGGTGGCGGATACATCGCCTGGCCAAGGTGACTTCTCTAGGACTATGCTGTGTATGTAAGGTGAACCTTGATTCAGAATCTGAACCACTTGGCAGCTGGCAATGGTGACGGGGGCGCGACTCGTGATCCGAGCAAGGGACCCCAAAAACATGGAAAATTCGCGGCACCAACAGCCTCTCCGTAGAACGAGGTTGCGCGGACACTGCGCAGATGCCAGAAAATGAGAAGCCGGGGCTGGCACTTCAAGATCTCCTTGCTTGCTGCCCGCAAGGCAAGCACAAGCAGAAGCCCGACCAAGAAGCGCCGTCCTGCGTGATCTGTTTGCAGACATTAACAGCACTAACGGGTAATCACTATTATAACTACTACATATAACCATTCCAAGTATAAATAGTATCATAACGACTATAACTTTGGAAGAACGTGTGCGATGCCGTGCCGAGGATGTCCTACGAAGAAAAAAGCGCCAACGCTGGCCATCGGGCCTCGCACCTGAGCACGGCACTTGGCTCGGCAAGATCAAAGCTGAGCACTTGACATCAACAACCGCGGCATCTGGGCAGACTGCGCCATAAAAAATTACTGGGAGCCCCTGACTGCCTTGATCGCCTCCGCTGCTGTAACCTTCCGGCAAGGTTTTCAAAACCCGCCCAGAATGTGCAATGCAATGCCGGAAAGCTAAGCACTGCTCGCTATGGTGATGTGGGCAGCGCCACCTGAACTCTTATCCTATCCATGCACCAGGCCAGTCACAACAATCGCCCCCCAAACCTCCAAAAATCATGCAGTGCTGTCGCATCTTCAATGGGTTTTGAATTCGCGACTCGGCGTTTATCAGACCGAAAAAAGAAGTAAAAACACTGCTGAATCCCTTCAACTTGCCGATCTTGACTATCGGAAAAAATCACGATGCCAGGGGGGGGAGTATGTGCAACAGATTTTATCTGATTTTATCTGCAACAATGCACGCACACGATCGGAATCACCCCCCGAAAGGCGGGACATCTTGCGGGGTGATAAAGTAAAAACCAATGCAAGCAACGAAACTTGAAGAAGCGACCACTCTACATATGATGCCTTGTGTCGCCAAAACTCCTTTCAAACCCATAAATTCCATGGGAGGCAAGGCAAGCTTCGGGCGGAACGATCCCGAACGGAGAACGACGACCAGCACATGCATAACCAAACAATCCCAGAGCGCTCAGCCCCGCGCACGCCTGTGACAACTCCCAAGCCTCATTGTTAGAATGTTAGGGTTTAGGGTTTTGGGTTTTGGGTTTTCTTAATTTCACCTGACAACCACTGATCTAAGACCTATGCAAACACCTGTGAAGTACACGGCGTAATTGTAAGAAGGAGTCCGCCTCAGTTCAAGGGCATATTCACGGCAGGCCCGAAAAGAGTGCGCCACGATGGGATCCATCTGAGAGTTGGGCTGTAATCCTTGTGGATACGTCCAACCTAGAAGCAGGAAAACAATACTCGGAGCGCGAGACCGTCTGATGGGTGGCCGGCATAAAACCACTGCGAAGGCCAACTGATAAGCCGGGACCTGTTGCGAGATGATTGGAACGTGGAGATGTAGTACTTTTCATCTTGTGTGTTCTGGCGTTGTGGGGCCGAAACGAAGGCAGTCGTCGCAGTCATCCATGCATCGATGAAATCGTCCACCTTCAACCGCCCACGTGCTTAAACAACGCGGGTTAACTCGCAAACTCGTTGCTTTTTGCAAACTGAAGGCCGCACGGTGACATAAACGTGCAGCCTTGGATTTCAGCACAGTTGGTCAAGTCGAGTCTAGGCCCAAGGCCACAAGATGCCACAAGCAGGTTCAGAATTCCAAGCTGCGCGCAGCAGCATGGCAATACCAAGGCCAACAACCTCGAACGGCAAAGAAAGGTCTGGTCATTGGAGGCAAGTAATTCTGGTGCTGCTTGTCAGCATCGGGCAACATCGATGGGCGAATGCATCCCAAGGTACAGCCGTCCATACCTTGTGCTGTATGTGACTGAATTTCTTGGCCGTCCCGCCCCCCCCCCCCCCCCCCCCCCCCAAAAAAAAAAAAAAAAACCTTGGCCAAAACGTGAAAATGCGCAGCTGGCGCTCAGCAGCTGACATGACGAAACCACACCAAGCGAGGATGAGACAAAGTATCCTCAACGTTTGACAGCAGCGTCATCACTCCGGCACGTTGGCATCGACATGCATTGACACTGTGTGCCAGCAAGGCTCAGCTGCAAGTGCAAAGACCTGCACTGGAACACATGATTATTACTATGATTACTAATATGATTATGATGATTGAGTATTCTTCTTCTGTGATTATTGCTATATTTATATAGAAACTTCAACATTCGCACTGCAATGGGCTCCCGGAGACTTTTGTCCAAAGGCCTCCACGTGTTCCAGTACACCGAGATCCCATCACCGTAGCCTGTACGAAGCCGCGCCAAAGCAGCCAAAAAAGAAGCAAAAGCAGGTCCGACACTCAGCTTCCAGCTTGTGGAGCTTGCGTAGAAATAGAAGATGTACAGCCACCTTCTTCAGGAATGGTAGCCTACCGAAGCACAACCTGACTGGTCCCTCAGCCAGCAGCATACAGACCGTGTTGATCGTATGGGTGCCTCGGAGACTTTCTGAGACTTGTGGACTGCAGTCTATTCTCGTCTCAACCATGCAGCGCACTGGGCAAGCCGTACTCCATATCATCTGTCGACCTGACTAACATTGCCCCCCACACACACACCCACCCATCCACCCACCCACGCACGCACGCACCCACCCTCCCAACCACACACACGCACGCACACACACACACACACACACCCACACCCACACCCACACCCACACCCACACCCACACCCACACCCACACCCACACCCACACCCACACACACACACACACACACACACACACACACACACAGACACAGAGACACGGAGACACGGAGACACAGAGACACACAGACACACACACACACACACAATCACACACGTCCGCACACACACACACACACACCCACCCACCCACTCCACCCACCCACCCCACCCACACTGCCCACGCACGACCCCGCACTCCCAACGGCACGCCCACCCTCCCACACCCCCCTCTCTCTGCGCCCTCACGCCCTCATGCCCGCATTCCCGCATGCCGCTGCCCGCTCCGCACCGCCCGCACCAGCACGCCCGCAACGCGCTCCACGAGCGCACGGCTCTCACAGAAACTCCCACACTCCCACACGCGCACACGCCCCCGAACGCCGACACGACCACACGCCCACACGACCACACGCGCACGCGCATACGCACACACGCACACACGCACACACGCACACACGCACACACGCACACACGCACACACGCACACACGCGCACACGCGCACACGCGCACCGCACACGTGCACACGCGCACACGCGCACACGCGCACGCGCGCACACGCGCACACGCACACACGCGAGGGTGCGCGCACGCCACGCGCGCACGCGCGGGCCGCACCCTCGCACACGCGCACACTCGTACGTGCCAAAAGAGCCCGCGCCCGCGCGCCCGCGCCCACGCCCACGCCCACATCCACACCAACACCCACAGACACAGACACAGACACACACACCCACACACAAACACACACACACACACACACACACACACACACACACACACACACACACACACACACACACACACACACACACACACACCACACACACACACACACACACACACACACACACACACACACACACACACACACACACACACACACACACACACACACACACACACACACACACACGGCCGCACGGCCGCACGCGCGCGCGCACGCGCGCGCACACACACACACACATAGAGACACACACAGACACACACACACACACACAGAGACACACAGAGACACACAGAGACACACACACACAGAGACTTACACAGAGACACACACACACACGGAGACACACACGGAGACACACACAGCTAGAGACACACACACACACACGGAGACAAACACAGAGACACACAGAGACACACAGACACACAGACACACACACACACACACACACGGAGACACACACAGAGACACACAGACACACACAGACCTACACACACGCACACAGACACACACAGGGACACACACAGGGACACACACAGAGACACACACAGAGACACACAGACACACACAGAGACACAGAGACGCAGAGACACAGAGACACAGAGACACAGACACACAGACACACAAACACACAGACACACAGGACACACACACACACACACACAGACACACGCACACACGGAGACACAAACACACACACACACACACACACAAACACACAAAAGAGACACACAGACACACACAGACACACACACACACAGAGACACACACACACACACACACGCAGAGACACACACACACAGAGACACACACACACAGACACACACACACACACACACACACACATATATACACACACACACACACGCCCGCACACACACACACACACACACACACACACAAAAACACAAACACACACACACACACACAC